AACAACTAATCAAAGGTTTTGTTTGTAGCATTGTATTGTTGCATTGCTAAAAATATATGACCACAAATAATCAAGACTAAAGAAGAATCCTACACGAAAAAGTGAGATCCTAAGGTTCGATTCTGATAAGTTTTTCCTTTCCCATTTCATGAAAACAAGAAGTCTCAGCAGGTTACAATTATTCTATAACTAAAGAGATAAAATAACAGAAACGAAGCAATATTTGAGAAACTTCAGATGAATATCACATTAAAAGGAAAAGAAAAGGACCCAAATAATTTTCTAATCAATCACAAGAGTTGACCACATCTGTATACGTGTGTAAGATAATCTAAAGTCAACAAACTGCTCGAATGGTTGGCAAAAGTGCTGATTTTTTAAATAGAATAAACAGAAGAAGACTGAAATTGTGGTTTCGCGGCTAGATATCGAGGGGATTGTAATGCTGAAAATTGCAAAGCTAAAAAATACAAAACATTCAAAAGTCGAAACACAGATGGATACCATATGATGGGCAGCATCTTCAAAATGAGGTATCCAAAGATAAGGCAGAAGAAGACAATAACCATGTCTTTAATCAACAATTCACCTGGAAAACCTTTTGAAGTTAACATACACTATGAATGCATTTTGTTTTTGCGGATGTACTATGTTGTGAGCCATGTAACTAATTTATCTCTACATATAAAATTATAAACTTAACAGAAAAGAAGTAATAGTTTGAGAGTAGTGAATGACCTCAGTATCAATCAAATTGCTTTCGTCTGAATTTGATGTATTCACTGAGTAACAGAGCTCTCAAATTGTGATGATTGCTAATATGATGAAAACTCAAAACTACTTTCAAAATGTACCTTTGAACCGTACATGCAAGAAACATTGTGTTTCGACTTTGAGGTGTATCTAGCCAAAATAGAAGATTATGAATGAGGCTATACAAAGAGAAGTTTTGTTGTCTTTGGTTTGGGTGATTTTAGTAAAGCAGCTAAATATTTAAAGTTTAGTTCTCGATTTTATCACGACTTTATAAAACAAAGACTAACATGCATGTTTCGAATCCAAGACCTGCAATGAAACAGAAAATCACCCGTGGAGGAAAAAGGTTGCTAAATTCAAAGAGCGTTAAAAACGTACGTTCTCATTGCAAACAGGACTTTCTATACAAACTTTTCAAATGGTGCTGCAATATGGTTTAGCTCCATAACAGAAAAGCATATGCATTTGGAGTAGGTGAAAGTATAAAATAGTTCGTTATATCACCTGGATTTGTGGCGACACTCTTAATCAAAAAACTTATCCTCGCATAGCATGTCAGTCGGGACTTCCTCTGGAGCGCGCATGGTTACTACAGAACACACAAACTCAGGATGTTACAAAAGAAGTCGAAGTAGAAACTGTACTTCTTAAGCCTGAAAGATTTGTATTTTATTATTTACTGATTATAGTCACATTCAACTTAATAGTGCTTAATTCTTGCAAAAATCCCAAGCTTGTTTATACACAACTCAGACCATTTTTTGGGCTACCAATTCAAGGCAAAGAACTCAAATTGGATTATAAAAAATAACTTGTGATTCATTTATTTCAATCTTTCATTTTCTAATGTCAGCTTGCACAATGAAGGAACTTATCGAACACCTCTAACACCACGGTTTGATCTGGGCAAAAGAACTCCAGCCTTGGGTTTAGCGGATTACTTCTTCGGATGCGTGGTCATACCCTGCAACGTGTCAAGAGAACATGATTAATAAACATCATCCATAGTACAGCTCAAAAGGATAATTTACCATAAAAGCAACATGGCCTGGGAGTTATTGATTAAGAAAAATAACTTTGTTCATTAATTTTATCCTATCCCATCTTTTCACCCCAACATCCAAATAAAATTGAGAAAAAAAAATAAAGCCATAAAGGTTTGTTGCAAGTAAAAAACACATGTAAAACTTCCCTGCTATTTCATCCCAACACATTCAAGAACTGAATTGCGGAACTAACAACATCTGACCAGATCTCCAAATACGAAGTTTACTTCCATGTCCACGGCAAAAGACATATGCCCATGCATCTATAAAAAATAAAAATCACCAATTGTTAATTGAAAATCCATTGCAACAGATATTGACGGAAAAAAAAAAGGACCAATAAAAATAAAACCCTAAACCTGTAATCCAACAACTTCAAATAATCTGTAAGAACTTTAAATAAAAAGGCATAGAAAAATCACAAACTCTTGAAGAAAAACATATTCGAACAGATCTGGCACCACACCTAATCTGTGACAGCGCCATCCAAATGCGAAAAAAAATCCCCAAAATTTTTCAATGAATGTGAAGGAATATTGAAAGCAGCCTAAGATCAGAGCGAGAAACATTATGAATAAGAGAAAGAATTCGTCATTTTCAAAATTTTCTAAAAAAGAATCCGCTCTAATTGATCGGTTGGAAATTTTTGGGGAAAAGCAGTAAGAGGAAAAAACAATCATCGTAGCTCTTTGATCGCGAATGAAGAGTAATAGATAAAATAAGAAACGACATGCTCTAGTCTGAAACAACGTCGTTTTTACCATGATACGGCGTTGTTTCAAATGAAGGCGACGTGGCCTCACCAAATTGCAGAAACACGTGTCAGACAGGGAAGCTCACACTTCCTTTTTATAGATAAGAGAAATAGATAGATAGATATTACACACAATTAATTATTTCATTCTAAAACTTTATATTGTCGTATTGTGTTTTATTATTTTATTATTTATTTTTCAAAAAATTCCAATATAAATACTCAATTTTATTGAGAAAACTATTGAATATCAACATTCTCTTACAAATTTTTGAGTTTTATAGTTTTTGATTAATATATAAATTAAGTTAGACATATTAATGAAGCATTTGTAACTTAAAAAGGGGATAAAGAAACAGTATAAACATATATACTAGCCTTTCATATCCCCAGAAATAGAAGGCAAAAACCTGGGAGACCAAAATTTGTAATATCCAGTATAACACAGGCAAATTGAAGCACCGGCTGTTTTTAATCTTTTTAGCACTTAGCAACGGAATAAACCACACGCTTACATTCTTAAATCAATTATCATGGGTACAGTTACATACAACACAAACTATGGAGGGGAAGGATAAAAATAGAATAAAAGAAAAGAAAAAGCCGAAAGCAACGGTCGATAATCCTGAAGATCTACATGAAAATGTTATAGTTGTTGTTCCAAAAATTTTCAAACTTCACAGCACCTACATAGACAGAGGAAGGAGCATCCTTCGTTTCTTCTTCCTGGACAATCTAACTTGCTTGGTAATCTTCATGAACAAAAGCAACAACCCCGTAATACACAACAAGACTACAGCAAGCCTCAAGTGCCTAAAATACAACGAAACGGACGAGAAAACGAGGAAAGCCAAAATCACGAGTTCCCATATGACAAAAATGGCGACGTCAACCCTGCAAGTAGAAAGCAAAGATCAATAACACGGCAATAGTTAAAAATAATAATAATAAGCTGAGTTCCAAAGGTCTACATCACCAAAATAACAAGAAAAGCAATCTAAAACTACACGTATAGAACTTCTCCAAGAAATGACAATGTAAATGATAAGCCAATCACACCATCCAGTTTTCACCTAAAACGGAATCGGTTTACAAGGAAACTTGTTTGGTGTACCGACCTCAGCTTCTATCAAATGAAAAGATATTGATCAACGACATATCGAGAATCACTAGGAGTAAGAGCTGCTCATATCACAGTTGTTCTATAGACCCTATTCAAAAGATTAGGAAGACAGTGGCAGAATCTCAATGCTACAATCAACAACTCATGATCATGAATCCCTGATTTCACGGAGAAGAAGATTCTGGAGTAGTTTTACCCAACAATGCCAAAAGATATACAGTACCAATCAGATTCTTTATAATCAAAACATACGGAAGACGATTGTGTATATTGGGTTATAATAAGGTCTCGCTTTTACGTTTAAAAGTTGACACCAGATATCCTTTTTTCCGAACATTTGGGAACGCAAATAGAAGAAAAGGATATTAAGTGACCTAATGTCCTAGAGACTCAATAGTTGACTGACCGATGGTCACCTAGTATATAAATTGGCTATATACTTTATTTTCTGTTCCAATTTTGGGAGAAAAACACACAACAAGGTAAATTGAAGAGACCCGGCGATGTCAATTCTGAAAATGAAAACTTTATTCTTTAAGTCCATTCATCTGGGAGTACACGGCAAACCCTTTCTCTTTTTTAGATCATTTATCTGCGCTTTCTCTTCTTCTCTAGCCTCCACATTTTTCCTTCCAGTTTTCATCACATAGCACTAGGAGGGAAGGTGCTGGTGGGAGTCGAACCCAAAATCTCTAGCCTGGATTTGATGAGTTGGCTAACAACTTGAACCCCACCAAAAACATCCGTTGTCTTGCCTACACTTGACTTGCATATGATGTTCATAAAAGTCTTCCATGCATCAATGGCGATATCAATTACTAAAACAATTCTACTCATACACAACAGTGGTAAGACCAATTCTGAACATGTTTAATGATGATTTGTGATATTCAACAAAGACCTCAAAATATTACACTGTCCTTTTCTTTCTCTTTCCTCTTTTCTTCCAGAGTATATACCGCGAGAGTCTAAACCTCTCCATCGCTATCCAGTTTCTACCATGCTACACATCTACTATGCCAACTCTCCACAAATTTCAGCAACCTCAGTATCACCAACAACTGAACTTCAATAAAATCCTTTAGTACCCCAAAATTTAGGTAAAATGAGATGATAACCCAAATTCTTGAAGAACAAAGCTTGAATGTTTTCACCTTTTATAGCATAATTTGACATATATGTAAAAGCTAACCCCCCAGTTTTTCTAATTGTAGGTAAAGCATCCAAAAGGGGCAAAAACATCTCAAAATCACCAGAAGCATGAAATTCCTTCTCATTGTGAACGAGCTAAGAGGAAAAAAATGTGAACAACCCATAATAAAATACAGTAATTCGCTAGACATTTATACCCAGAAACAAAAAGGAAAATAACCCAAAACAAAAAAAAGGGGGAAAATGAAAAACCTGGAAGAGGCGAGATTGGAGGTGGAAGAGAAAAAGGAAAGGGAAGCCCAATCGTGCTTAGATCGAATCTGATATTCTCTCAGCTGCTCCGCCAAATTAGATCGCGTTATCATCCTCTTTCAGTCCACGGCACGCGCCGCCGCGTTCGGCTAATTTCTACCTCCTTCTCGTCTCTCGCCCCGCCACCTCTCTATCTCTCTCTTTACGTGTGTATATGCTCGCAGAATTTCTGATGATTATTCGAGACGAATTCTATTTTCCCTTTTATGGATGGAAGAAAATGGTGGGTAGTTGCTGAGGAGCTGACTACCCCGATGCCGATTTCGAGCGTCTGATTTGTGGCAGAATTTATGATAAAATATTTGGATTTTGAATTTTTTTTTTTTTTAAGGCAAATATAGATGAGGAAATTTATTACAATGCTCAATTTTTTGAATTTTTTTATCAATTTAATGCTGTATTTTATTATTTCTCAATAAAAAAAACTTATCGTTAACGTAATTCTCTATTTAAGATTCAATTTTTTCTTTAATCTATCATATATAAAAAGAATAACTTTTTTACAAATTTAGAAATTTTTTCCCGCCAAAATCATTAAATATATCCTATATATAGTAATTGTTGGACAAATCTGAATAGACAAAAAAATCCGTTCATTAATTGTGTAAAGATTTGTTTCTCTTTTTCCTGTTTCTTAGTTTATCCTTTTAACAATAAATATTTGTTTTCTTTTTCTTATTTTTGGTATAAATCTACACGAGCTTATCTCTTCTGTTACAAAATCTCATTGCATTTTAAAAAATCTCATCTCTTATCTATACAGATTTGAAAAAATAAAATAAAATAGAAATCAGTTCATAATTACTACTAGAAATCCATTATCTTTAAAAAGAAAAAATAAAATAAAATAGAAACTAATTCATAATTACTACTAGAAATTCATTATCTACTTTAAGAAGCTAATTTTCATCGGTCTAATTACTAATATTTTTACAAATATTCTACGCTAACCATACAAAAAAGTATAATAATAATTTTGAAATGGTGTGTAATCAAATTTTTTTATATTCTCTTATACAAAATCATTTTACATTGTTTGACCCCGAATCTTTAATTTATAATTATTAAGTATTGTTTATCCTCCTCTTTTATTTATAATTATTTTTTTTTTCTTCCTCTTTTTAAATACGATCAATAGTAGTTTTCATTTCCGCCATTGACTCAAACTCGAGGTCTATTTATAATATTGTTAATTTAATATTGTTCCCGTGCATCGCACGGGGTACACACTAGTTTCTTAATATAAGACTCAACTATTTTACTTTTTAACATAAATATGTGAACCAATTAATTTTATTTTATGATATAATTATGTAAATAAAAATATATTTTTTTTTTTAATTTGTAGTTTACGTACTTATAATTAAAAATAATAATTATATTTAGTATAAGAAATAGGGGAAAACGGGTGAATAAAGCACACCATAACAAGGAAAGTCAGATGAAGCCCAATTGGGGTTTTCCCAAAACCAATTAGTGGCAGAAAAAGAGGAGTAGCTCAATAGAATTATAAATTAGGCTTATTTTCCCTATATAAACGATGCGGGGCAACTCATACGTGAATATTCTAATACACCCTTCACTTGTGAGTTCTTCATAAGAAGTCCAAGCTCATATACGGAGTCGGGTGCCCAAGCCCTACTAGAAACAGGTTGGAAAACGGGTACGTCATTGCACGGTCCCACATAGAACCGACTCTGATACCATATAAGAAATGGGGGTACAACGAGTGCGTGAGGAGTCGGTGCCCAAACCCTACTAGAAACAGGCTAGAAAACGGGTGCATCATTGCACGGTCCCACATAGAATCGGCTCTGATAACATATAAGAAATGGAGGTAAAACGAGTACGGTCTCACGCACGAGCGCATCATAAACAGGGAAATCTCATATGAAGTCCAAGCGGGGTTTTCCCAAAACCAATTGGTGGAAGGAGGAGTAGTACATTAAACTTATAAATTAGGCTTATTTGTCCTCTATAAACGACGTGGGACAACTCACACGTGAATATTTTAACAAACCCTTTACTTGTGAGTCCATCATAAGAAGCCCAAGCTCATATACGGAGTCGGGTGCCCAAGCCCTACTTAAAACAGACTGAGAAACGGGTACGTCATCGCACGGTCCCACATAGAACTAGCTCTGATACCATATAAGAAATGGGGATGAAATGGGTGCGTGAGGAGTCGGGTGCCCAAGCCCTACTAGAAATAGGTCGGGAAATGGGTACGTCATCGCACGGTCCCACATAGAACCGGCTCTGATACCATATAAGAAATGGGGATAAAACGGGTGCGTGAGGAGTCGGGTGCCCAAGCCCTACTAGAAACAGGCTGAGAAATGGGTACGTCATCGCACGGTCCCACATAGAACCGGCTCTGATACCATATAAGAAATGGGGGTAAAATGGGTACGGTCTCACGCACGTGAAGCGCACCATAAACATGGAAAACTCAGATGAAATCCAAGTGGAGTTCCATCCCAAAACCAATTGGTGGAAGGAGGTGTAGCCATTAGACTAATAAATTAGGCATATTTTCCCTATATAAACTATGTGGGACAACTCACAAGTGAATATTCTAATATTTAGTAAATTACCCCACTGTTGGAGTGTCCAAGTAGATACTCTTACTTTCTCCCGAACGATAGTTATATTATTAATAAGAAAATGAATCTATATAAATTACATTTACGAAAATGTTCAATAAAGATTTTCAAAAATTGATAAGATAATTTGAAAAATATATTAATTAAAATAATATTTTTATTAATAATCAAAATATGTAATAAAAGTAAGAAATAATATTTAAATATATTTTCAATTTCCTTTTGTTATTACTTCACTTTTTATTTTTTATTTTTATTACATAATTGGATTTACTTTTTAATTTTATTACATTTATCTTATTAATCAACAAAATATTTATATTATATATTTTTAAATTCTCTTATTAACTTTCTGAAAATAATTTTTATTGAACTTTTGCATAAATATAACTTACATTGATTCATTTCCTCGTTTAAGTCAATTGTTAAATATAATTAATATATTTAACATAAATATGTAAAATATATATTATAAAAAATAATATTATGGTTTATATATTATGTCAAAAAATAAAGTTAGTTGGGTCTTACATAGAAAAGTTAAATAAAAAAGCGAGTCTTAAATTGAGAATAACTTAAAATGTAAATGTTCTATTAAGAAAGAATAAAATTAAGGCCTTAAATTGATACGATTTCAAATGATTGGTCTTATAATGAAATTTCCCCAATATTGGTGGTGTAAACACCGTAACCCCGTGCGATGCGCGGGACTATTAAATGAGTTATTTTCACAGGCTATGTCCGTTTAAGTCTAAAAAACAATAGAGTTATCATCTATTTTTTATCTCTTTTATTCAGCGTCAAGTGTAAAAAATAAGAAAAATGTTACAAGCACATAATAAATATACATAGAGGTGTACATAATACTCACATGGAGTGGGGTTCACTTGATTTTTTATTTTTTTTAGGACCCACTTAATGTGAGTGTTATGTACATCTCTATGTACAATATTATGTACTTTTAACATTTCTCAAAAAACAATAGGGTTATAATCCATTTTTCACCTCTTTTAATCAACGTTTTTTTTAGAGTTATAACATTAAATATGAGCATGTTAGAGCTAACTTATAAAATAATTAATATATTATTTCACTAACGCATTTATATTAATTTAAAATTAATTTTATTATATATATTTATTCCTTGATATAAGAGAAATTAACAGTTTTACTTATTCTTGTTCACCATATAATACTTAATTATTATTTTATTTTAAACTTTGTTGTCATATAATGTCATTTTTATTTATAAAAGTTGTAGAAGTTGTACATCTTCTTTTTCTTTTTATTTTATGTAATGAAAAATATTTAATGCACGTTAGTATTATTTATCTGTGTAATCAATTTAAAATTAAATAGTGTATAAATATTTTACTGAATATACACACATGTCCTTTTCGAATTTAGTTTTGTATACAAATTAAACAACTTTGATTTAGGAAATACCAAAAAACTCAATCCCTTCTATAATCAAGATTTTTCTAATTTGTATTATAAGGATTTATAGTTTATTTAGCATGCTCATCAATGAAAATATATTTTACAATAATTTCATTATAGAAAGAAATAAAATAAAAAAAAAAGATAAAAAATAATCATGGTTGCCAATCATATACAAATAAATTCTAAAGAACAATAAAATAATTCATTTTCAGTTTTTGACCATTAGTAAAACTATTTAATATATCTAGTTATTGTCTCTTAAATGTTAAATTATATTAATTTGAAGAATAATTTATTTTTTCATATATAACGAAATTGTTGACATCAAATTTTGTCTATGCCTGTTAAAATATTAAACGTGGATATATATTAATAAATATAAAATATAAAATAGAGGTTCTTTTTATATCTGATTTATTAATTATAAAAAAAGTCCCCAAAAGTCAAGATTGTTAGTATTGGTGCCAAGCAGAATTCAACGTTATCAGCCCGACCCGGATATCATAAAGAAGCCGCCCCGACAGACACAATAATTGTCGACAATACAAATATCAATCAAAGTCATTATTTATTCCATTATTTATTTATTATTGTTCGGCCCTGCGCGGTCACATTTTGAGTTATTACATTTATCTTTGTAAAAAATATTGTGAAGGCCCAACATGTAAGGGCCCATTAGACGAATATATATATATATATATCCCCGATGATGGAAATCAGACGGATAAGTATGAGGGGGCCATACTTTTTCTTTCTCTCTTTGCTCCCAATTTCTTTTCTTTCTTCCTAAGAAAACACGACCGAGATTCATGTTCTTGATTTCCCTTGAATATTTCTTGATTTATTTACAGAAAATACACAAAATATTCAATATATATCACACAACTCTGAACCCCCCTATGTTGTTACAAATTCATACGACTTAAGAAAAAATTATATCGACAAAGATTAATTAACCAACTTGATTTTGCCCGACTAATCGGAATAAAAATTCTACCTAACATGTTACGATTTGTTATAAATATTTTTTGAATAAAATATTTGTGAAAAAAATAATAATATTATGGTTACAACTTAAAATATGTTGTAATATTTATTTTGACCAAAACATTATCAACATGAATCATGAAAAATCAATCTTGTAATTTATTATAATGAATATCAATGAAATTATTGCAGATATTAGTAAAATTATTTAAGAAAATAATATTTTTGATTATATTCTGATTTGATATTATTTCAAAAAATGTATATAGAAG